CTATCATATTCTTAGCTAGCACTGGCCTAAAAAAGAACAAATAAGCAGACTTCAAATCTCATTGTGAAGTGAATCCTTATACTTTTGAGCAATGAGTATCTACGTAACTGAACTTGAAATGTTTTATTAGAATCTAATAATACACTAACACCAGCACTCTGAGCTTCCCCATCTCTACAGCTGACACATTAGAGGGATTATTATGCTATGCCTTTAAACTGAAAAATTAAAATAAACTATAATTAATGGTATTTCAAGAATAATAATATTGGTACATATTGACAAAAGCGCAGAGCATTAAAGGTTGTAATTTAGAACACAGACCAGAAATATATCCTTATCACATTACCACAAATTCACTCAGAACATACAAATTACTTTGACTACGCTATGTCTGTTAATTAAAATAGGACAACATAAAATACCCAACATATATTATCTTACACTATTTTTTACTTTGTCTGATTTCTAATTAGAACTTGCTAGTGTAAATGAAAGAATGCATAAAATCCTTTACAAACATGTAAGACAGAACAGAATCATAAATATCCTTTGCCCTTGCTAATGTTATTATATCAATTATTTGTATTAGCTTTTGGCCATACATGTAATCAGTATGGAAATCAAAAAGAACAAGCAAGTTTGCAGCTGTTCTGAATATCAGAATTGAGGTTCTCTCTAAAAAGAGTTAACTGTAATGGAAAAAGAAAGAGAACAAATTTCATGTTATGATCTGCAGAAAATTATCCAATGTTGGGTGGGGAGGAATCACAGCCTTCTAAAATTTCAGTGACTACATGTTACTTCAGGAATGTCTCCAGCTTTTCATGTTATTCCGAAAGGCACAACTTACTACAGAAAATACAGTACTATTAATTCTGTCAGTTTGTCATAGTAGATAGTAAAGCAAAATGCACAAACACACACACTACAAAATTAAAAATTACCTTTAAACCAACAGGTTACAATTTCTCCTTTCTCAAAATCAGCTGAAGGGAATGTTCTCTATCTTTTCCAAAAGTAATACCAAGTAGGAGACTGTCAATGGAAATTTTTATCCAAAGGAGAAGGGTTTGAAGGTTCAATTTCTTTCTTTGTTTTTGTGACTGGGTTTTGGGGTTTCTTTAATAAAGCTATGGCCAAACAGAAACATATTTAATTACCTAAGTCTGCATTGCACATAAACGCAACTCCACAGTTCACCACCAGGACCTCAGTAATCTGAATCATATTACCTCTGAACAAGAGAAATTCAAGCACCACCTGATGGAAAGAACAGGGCAGTTCTTGCCATGGAAACACCTGCAGCTGCCAAACACGGTGCTGGCTCTGCAGAAGCTCAGGCAGATCTGCAGCTGCTTCAGCCCACAAGGGAAGTGGAGAACACAATCAGAGTCATCACACCTAGAGCTGGGATTCAACCTCCTGCACCTATTTCTTGTGTTTGCCATGAAGGTCCTTCACTCGCACATTGATCCTGTCTATCCCTTGTTCTATTGAAGCCATAATAAGATCAAAGCTTCAGCTAGTTAACTGCTGCTATTGATTATATGCAGCATGATTAATCTTGATATGCATACTGCAATTTATCCAGCAAAAATTAAAACAAAAAAATTAAATTCTCCTAGCAATTTTTCTCAAGTAGTTATTCACACTAAACATGTAACACAACTTTGCACCAAAGACCTCCGAAAAAAAAACTACACAAAATATGGGGTTTTTTTCTGAAATAGTTTTCCTCTTTGTGTTTAATAGAATTGTGCCTCAAAAAGTGCTTAGAAAATCTTCCCTTTTGAAGTTTTGTTTGGATGGGATTTTTTGTTTTTATCTTCTGCTGTTCTCTGTGCCTTAGCTTGCTTTGACCAAACGGAATACGAAAAAGCATAAAAGAAGAAAAACATTTAAAATATGCTATAATTTTTTCTATAACTAAATTCTTCATTTTATTATTTTTATGTCAAAAATGCAAACAAAAAAGTAACCTGTGCAATGTTGTCCCATCAGAGGCATGTAAAAAAGTGACCAACCTAATTCTCCTTTAACATATAGATAAGAAGATACAGTTAAAATACCACCAGAAATCTCAGCATAAGGTACTGATTGATTTTGTTACCTGAACACTTAAATGATACTAATTTTTATAACAACTGTAACAATAAGTTAAAGTTCTCTGAACCTAGAAACACACAAGTCTGATAAGCTCTCTAATAAAAGCTTTTCCAATAAGGAAAGGAAGATATTACTTAATTAACTTTATAATGCCTATTTCTACTATATTTGTGTTTCACACAACATATATTTCATTTAAATGAAAAATTATTTGTATGGAACTGACAAAGACTCCACGTTTCACATACCTCTCAAGAAACAAAAAGGGGATGAAGATGACTTAGTATGCTTTTACACATAGGTGGTTGTTACAGGCAAGCAAGATATTCAGAAATATAATTCTCCATCTAAATCTGAAGGAATTCTATACTATTTAAAAGCAATTAAGTATATGCATTTCAACAGGCAAACTGCAATAAAACAATCAAGTGTTACTGAATAATTACAACTCATAGTATCAATCATGCAATTCAAGACTAATACTGTGAAAAACTACTAGGAAAGAAAGTTTTGCATTTAATTAAAACTAAAAAGAGCACAGAGGTTATTACACAACACAATTGCATAACACAAACAAACAGTAATATGCTTTTCTGTCACACACCAGTCTAACACCGAAGCCACTTAGTTCCACACTGAACAGACAGATTACAGAAAACGTTGCATTAACTTTGGTTCTCCATATGCAGGTATTTTCCAGGTTCCTCTTCAAATCAACCTACAACAGTGTAACTGCTCTAGTCTATTTTATAAAATTGTCTGGACCATCTGTCTGTTGCTTTGCTATCCTTTATTCTTTTTTCATTCCAGATCAGGCTAGGGGACACCAGATTCCAATCTCAAATTTGCGGCTACACCTGAAGGTCACCCCCTTGCCTGCAGAAACCTTGCAGGTGGCTCACTCAAGCCAATATGTAACTTTGAGCCAAGGACTTTTGAAATAAACAGAAAGGCATCACTTAGAAGTCTTCCACAATGTTGAAAACAGTGACAGTTCCTGCTTGTCCCTGATAAATGTTAGAACTGCCAGCAGCAAGTGACCTGGTTTAATTAAGAAAGGGAACTTGTAAACTTGAGTGTACAATTTCCTTGTGAATGGGAAGGACACCTATAAACATCTGTTGTCGTAGAGCATTATAGACTTGCAAAAGAAAAGAAGGGAGGCTGAAGACAGTCTCATAAGAAAACTTAGGTTTTTCCTAGAAAATCCTAATACCTTCTGCTATAGACCCTGTAATTCTAACTACCCCTATTAGAGCCATGCCTTCTTCAGCTGTTGAGAAATAACAGCAAGTGTCTTCTGCTTACTTTCTGGAGAAAAGTAACGGCTTCAGAAAACTTGATTACTGGGACAGATCCCATGTCAGGTCTCAAAACTGAACACGTAATGTAGAGATGTTCAGGCAGAAGAATGAGATCCAAACTATTAGCAGTTTTTTCTATTGCTAATTTTAAATTATTTTCAATATTTTCTATTGCTACTAACCGCCACCACTAGCAATGTTACTATTGCTATCTCTTTTTTGCTCTTCTGAGTAGAAAATCTACCACATGATAAACAGATAGTTTAAACAGTAGTGAGTCTACCATAAGATAAAGAAGCATGCTGTTCATTTCAGCATAATTGTCCCTACTGCAAAGAGAAAGAAGCTGAATTCTTTCCCATGAAAACTAGAAACAAAATGTCCCAATGCACTTTCATTTTACAAATGAGTAACAACATTGACAGTTTCAAAATGAATATGAACAATTCATTAATGACAGTCTTAATGTGAACTGCTGATAACTCCAGAATGTCACATGGAATCACCCTCTGAAGTTACAGTTTTACTGTCCTTGTAGATAAAAACTTCTTGGTTATCTAGCTGTGGTACAAGAGGGCCTGTGGGAACTCTTTCCAAAAAGTTTTACTGCAGTAAACAACTCAGTCTGAGAACTTCAAGAATTTGATAGTTACTTAGTTGCAAAGCAATATTTTTCCCAGTGCTCATTAAGAGAATTAAGAAAAGAAAGGTAGTTAAGTGGCATGAAGAAATCCAGGGCACCAGATTCAGC